TAAATCCGTAGCTTGCGTAAGCCCTATCGCTGCCCCATATCTCTCACTAACTCAGACGAAACAATGGCCTCATCCCCAACAGAGGTGGCAGATACCTTTCGAGCACATTTCCAGAAAATATTCAAATCACCTCCGGTGCTCAATCAACCCATTATGCAACCGCTAGATACAAATTTATCCATAGGATTCATCGTTTTACATAATATAAGGTAGAAAGGAGATTCCAGAGTTGTAGTTCAGTAGTTGGGGCACAGTGGTGGCAAAGAATATCCAAGACACTCCTTTGTTGAGCAAAACACTATCCCTGTAAAGAAGATAACGAGCGCCCGCGACAAGACTCGGCGAGTATTTTGGGAAAACCTTCAAAGAAATAACGAAGTACGTTGGGGGTATAGCTTGGTCGCCCACGGAGCCTGACCGCAAGGTACCCGCAAATATGGTGTCAGAAAACGTAATAGCTTCTCAGGCCTTACTTCTGAGGATCCATCCCAAGCAATACAGAAAAGTTATATGAAGGCCGAGTTGGACACCGTCACAGTGTGGTACACTAACACCTGCAGCAGACAAGGCGGAGTATTCCTACTGGTCAAAGCCGCTTACACTCAATGGGACTCACCAGTAAAACTGGCGACACCTAATATTCAAGTCAAGGCGTGTAGTATCCTCTGGGAAAGAGGACCCTTAGGAGTGCTATTAGTCTATCGAGCACCCCAATTGGAACCCGCAGAAGATATGTAACTAACTGCTACAATGCAGGAATTCCTATCGTGGATCCAAAGGATCTTAATTCTAAGTGATTTAAATCTTCCGGAGATCTGCTGGTTAGAGGGAGAGGCCCTCGTTGGGACAAGGGGAGAAAGCTTTCTAACATGGCTACATGAGCATGCGCTCATTCAGCATATCACGCAGGCCACAAGGCTTCGCAACCAATAGAGGGCCTCCGTCCTAAACTTAGTTATAACGCGGTGTTTATCGGATCTCTCGTGTCATCATTGGCTTTGGTGGTCAATACCGGATACTTACTTAAATTCAATTGTAGTTCTGATTTATTTGAGCACCTTTAAACTTCATCTAGATCTTGTTTCAATCTTTACGCAGCTAACTTCACTTCATTGGCGAATATGAAGCAAGGATTTTGGAGATCCTCCGCATGATGGTTAATGAAGATCAAAAATAATGACGGACCCAACACCGATCCCTGTGGGACACCGCCGGATATTCACTCAGGTTCGGTTCTTTAATTTCCAAATCTCACACTGAATTTGCGACAGTTGAGAAATTGTCTTATCCCTTCTCTTACTTTACCTAGAATTCTCACTATTTGCACTTTTAGATCCAGAAGCTGATGACTGCCAGAGTTTGAAGCTTTGCTGACATCTAAGGAGCAAACCTCTACTTGGCGACCTGCGTTTATTCTTCTTGTAACTCCGTCTAGAAACGCCAGTAGGTTGGCTAGACACAATCATTACTAAACGAATCCACGCTGCGCTTGAATCAGAAACCTGTGCTACATCAGGTAAGAACACATCTGTTTCGTAACTATCCGCTCGAGACTCTTGCAGAAGACCGAGGTCAAACTTACCGGCCTATAGTTGCAAACATGTTATCTAGAGCCTGACTATGTGTGGCCCCTACGATTGCAGTTTTTCAGTTCACTGGGAGCCTGCAAGTACCGATGGGCTCCTTAAATAACTTAGTCACCGATCCCACTAATGCACTTCATAGGGGCTGAATCACGGCGGGATGCAATCCATCCAGTTCTGCTGTTTTGTGCCTAGTTAAGATACTCAGCTTTCGGACAACGTCGTTTTCACAGAGGGTGAACTCTGTGAAATGCTCCCCTGTTCTAGCCAGGCTGCAGTCCGCGGTGTGTTCTGCTGTTGATGGCCGATAAATTCCCCAGAAAAACGTAGTAAGTGCACTGGCTTTTTCCTGGTCGGTGGTGGCCTTTACTCCTTCCGCTACCTCCAGTGTACCTACTCCCTCCTTAGTGTTTTTGTTTGCCTGCACACATGCATAAAACTCTTTCGGGTTATGCCCTACGTTTTACGCTAACTTTTTCTCAGGTTCAAACTTCGCCTCCCTTTGCAGGGATTGTGCTCTGTTGCGTGCCCTCTTGCAGATCGACCACGCGTCGGCAGTCCGATACGCCCTAAAACGGGCTCAGCATCTCCTTCGGACTACTATTGCCGGATCTAACTGTGGCCTCCACCAAGCTGGTCGCTGCCTATTGCTCCTAGGTTTGAAGGATGCAAACCTATCGGTCAGTCTAAGCAGCCCTACCTTATGACAGATCATCGCTATTCCAATGTTGGCTCGGGAGCTAGGGGCACCCAATCTGCGTGTTCTGCGGCTTATTGTAGGACAACAGCCCTTATAGGGCTATAGCACCGTTGAGTGGGGCAGCCGGTTTGATGTGTTTCATGGGTGATACTAACCTCAGTACCCCATGGTCACTTTTACCCAGTGGATTCTCCTCTGCTACCTCAATTATGTCCGATAAATACCGCGTTATAACTAAGTTTAGGACGGAGGCCCTCTATTGGTTGCGAAGCCTTGTGGCCTGCGTGATATGCTGAATGAGCGCATGCTCATGTAGCCATGTTAGAAAGCTTTCTCCCCTTGTCCCAACGAGGGCCTCTCCCTCTAACCAGCAGATCTCCGGAAGATTTAAATCACTTAGAATTAAGATCCTTTGGATCCACGATAGGAATTCCTGCATTGTAGCAGTTAGTTACATATCTTCTGCGGGTTCCAATTGGGGTGCTCGATAGACTAATAGCACTCCTAAGGGTCCTCTTTCCCAGAGGATACTACACGCCTTGACTTGAATATTAGGTGTCGCCAGTTTTACTGGTGAGT